CTGTTTAGGCAACACTTCTACTCATTCTTCCTTTTCATAGGAAAATATCCTTACTGATGCTTCAGAAATGATTTAGGCTTTTGTGTTAGTTGTCTGAGCTCATGTTTTCTATCCTGGCATCTAAGTACAGATTTTTATAAAGGCCGAAGTGTAAACTGTCATAGTGTTCATAATAGTAAAATAGTTGATGAGACAGTTACACAGTTTCAGATAAGGAACAAACTAGGAACCAATGAAATCTTAAATAATAAACTGCTTGTTTCCAGTGTTGCATTATGAAAATGTTTTCCACTTTTTCTCATTCTGTCTTGCAACTGAAGACCTCAAAACAGTTTACCAAAAGTTAAACCCAGTGCCATTGCTTCATGTCAAGCAATTATTAAACCTGCTTGCAGACGAATGGATAAGTCTAGATTTGACAAACTTTCTCTAGGCCACGCCATGACTCAGAATCACAGCCAGCAGGAGAACATGAATCCTGAGTATTAATCACTTTTCATCTATTAGCCAATATATTTTGTGCCAGGTTCCAATACTGTCAACAAATACGCTGGCACAGCAGTTGGATACCCTTTTGATCATGCAATTCCACTTTAAGTGCTGGTGCTACATTGCAGTGTTTCAATTTTGAGCAGCAGAATACCACCTCTGCTCCATCATGGAAAAGGAGTTGCATCACGGTGGGAGTTCCGTGTCAGTCTTAATCTTTCACTGTGTCTGTCTCATTTCAGCTCACCTGCAGCTCATTTGTTACCATCCCCGTGGTCCTGTGTGCCATATCAGGACAGCATACTGTCAAGCTGAGGAGGGGAATGAGTTTTTCATAATCCTGTCAATCACTGTTCTTGTTTTGACCTCTCACATCTTGCTAAACAAGTGACCTGCTAAGCAGGCTCAAGACTAGCTGTAGCCAATGTGCAGCTGTTTTTCATAGATAAAGCCAATGTAACAAATCAGACTACAGCCATAGACAAATACTGACAGCACATGTTTTAGGGAGCATCTCTTACTGACATTAAACAATTATTTTTGACGCTGAAGGAGACATTGATTACAGTGGCAAGACTTGACTTGCATTTAGTGTGTAGTCATTTTGAAGGATGGCTGGAAAACGTGGACATTGCAGTCTTTTTATTATTGCCAGTGATTATATACAGATCTTTCCATTTTGCATTCTCTTTGCAAAGCAAACAGAAGGATACAGAGCTAAGGGATAATGAAGCACAGTGTGTTGCTTCAAATCTTTGCTTTTGTAACGCTAACAGAAATGGGGAGAAACAGACAAGCATTTTTTTGTTATTTGGGTGTTTGCATGTCGTTCAAACAAGAGAGTGACACAGTGAATGTATCAAAAGAGCAAATCAGCTGATTGTGACATATTGATGTATTTACATTTCAGACTGAGTCACGTGAGGCAGTAGTATCTTTTTACAGATTAAGTAGCCTGTCCGGGAAAGGCAGAATGGTAGCAAAAATTCACATACTGAAAGTCATGCTTAAGCTCAAGGAAAACAAAAAAAAAAATGTCATCTTTCAAACATAAATATTCACCCAGCCGATGGCTGTAGCTGGTAAATGTGGCTATTGCAGTTATTTTCCTAATATGTTCCCTTTTTCAGCGTTCTTGTGAGGACAAAGCATACTAAAATGATAGCCATTTATTGTACAAATGGCTACCCTTTTTATTTTTTTGGTTTTTTTTACACAGCAGGGGTGCTAGCAAGGCTTGAGAAAGCAACAGGTGGGAAAACACTGATGCAGGCATCATCTTGATATGTGAATTTAACCATTTTCAGTGAAGGAGCAGAAAGCTAACAAGGTACACATGTGCTACTGAAGTCTGATCTTAAGTAGACAGAGAGGAAACTCCCAGCACTAAACAGTGGCAGTGACATGCTGGTAAAGCAATCTTCTCAGGAATGCCTTTCAATGCTTCTTACTGGCTTGAGTGGGGAAGGTCTGCCTGTAAAAAATGAATTGGGTGATGGCTAAGATCTACAGTATACAAGAAAACAAAACTACTACTGATTCTCAGTTTGCTAAATTGAATGGCAGAGGCAAATCCTTTTTAGACTATCCATTCTATGACAGCTTTTAGAGATGCTATGTAGGATCCAGTCTGTAGTCCAGTTTACCTATATCTGCTATTTCAGAGAAAAGTGCAAAAAAATTCATCATAGACAAGTAGGGCTTTGTAAACTTGCATGAAGGGGATAGTCTGCCACGAGAGTTCAATGTTATGAATGTCTTTTCAAAATAATAAAGTTCAAATAAGCAGGCTGTTTTCATTGATAAATATTATTTTAGGTAATTTCACTAGTGAAATAATTAGATTGTTATTGATGTGATTCTTGGGAGAAGTACTTTTAAATGCCACACGGACTAAATGGCAAAATCCAAATTACAGAGTACAATTACTGTCTGTGGGGCCAGTTTCCTGTTTCTCTTTCGAGTTAAGGTTTTCCTACAAGGAGCACAACGGCAGTCAGGACTGTCCAGAATTGGTCTGTTAGTGCTTTTCATTGTCAGAGCACTTTAAACCCTTATCTAATAAAATGAGAAGACTGCAAGCTGTAAGATTGAAACAATAAGATGCTAAGAGATAAAAAGAAGCAGTTATTTCAAGCATAACTAATGCCGATTAGGGTAATGTCACAGCAGGAGTGCTGCAATTCTATAATCTCTATGTCAGAATGGGGAGACCTGACTTCTCACTGCCGTCTGAGCTTTCCGCGCTAACTTTAAGTTTGTTCCAAAATACCCAGAGATGAACATTGATAGGTGGGAGTTCTTAATTTAAAATGAATATTTGTGCCATATGGATAGTTAAAATGCATTCTGAATTTTTGCTGACACTTTCTAGTAATTTGTTTTGTGTGAATTTATGTCATGAATTGAAACCACTGCCACGTCTTAAAAGCAAACAGTATTAATGGCCAATTGCACAAGAAGAATGGCTTTTTCAATCCAAATGTTTGTGTATTATAAATAACAAATTATTTGTTGGTCCAATAACCAGTAAAATATTACTTACCGTGTCTGCTGCAACCACTCTTGACAGCTGAAGCTGTTTAAGTTAAATGAAACAGACTCAGTAGTGAGGGGAGACCTTATCGCTCTCTACAGCTCCCTGAAAGGAGACTCTAGTGAGGTGGAGGTCCATCTCTTCTCCCAAGTAACAAGTGATAGGACAAGAGGAAATGGCCTCAAGTTGCACCAGAGGAGGTTTAGGATGGATATTAGAAAAAATTTCTTCACGGAAAGGGTTATCAAGCATTGGAACAGGCTGCCCAGGGAAGTGGTTGAGTCACCATCCCTGGAGGTACTTAAAAGACAGGTAGACATGGTGCTGAGGAACATGGTTAAGTGGTGGTTTTGGCAGCGTTAGGTTAATGGTTGGACTTGATGATCTTAAAGGTCCCTTCCAACCTAGATGATTCTGTGAATCCTGTGACAGGGCGTATTTAAAAGTCCCAGAACTGGATTTTAGTTTTCAAAGCAATAGCACTTGACTATAGCATGAATCACCACTCTTTTGATTCTCCCTCCCTGACAAAGTAAAAGTTTGATGCAGAGCACATGTCAATTCAGTTCCTCAATGTGAAGGGAGATATTCCTGGCATATTCCATCCAGGACCTGGACCAGACCCTGCATAGTTATACAACACTGTGAAGAACTGTAAACTGGTACCAAATTTGGATGATCTTAAATTACAAATTGCAGGAAGTCAGTGATGATGTATAAACAGCTGAGTTTTTTCTGCAGCTGGTGGAGAGTGGAAGGTAAGGGGAGGCCTCAAAGGAGGGTGCTCTGTGGTGCTGAGCAGCAGCAGATCACTGTGCCACCACAACTATCCTGCTGCCTTCCTCTGTTAATCTTAAATCCCACAGACAAGTTGTTGTGACCATGCAGCACAGTCCTCCTGGCAGGTATGTGACATACCCTGGTGTGGGACCCGTGCATTAATGTCCCACAAACAGCCAGCTGCTGAAGAGCAGCAGTTTGATGCTCCTTGTTGAACTGCCTGGTGTTAGATAATACATGTCATCCATCCTTGCCATGAGCTCAATAAATAGGTGAACTGAAGGACAGCAAACTGATTTGTTCAGGGCAGTAAATCAAATGTGAACATTTCAACCTCTCTAGTGTTTATTAAATTATGTTGTTGTTATGTGTGTTTGTTCAGCAATTTGTGAATTACGTTGTTTTATCATAAACACATTTTACCAAAGTTCATCACACAGTGACCCTTCTCCATTAGTATGTTCTGAATTAATTGTGCTGCCATAAAGCCAATGGCAACTGCAATACCATACATCAGATCTTTTTTCTAATATAGCCTACAAAATTATTCTTTATGGGTTGTTGCTATGTATTTGCAAGAGAAATTTTCAGTGTTAAAAACTTCCATGTTGAGATTTTTTCTCAAATTATTTTTCATTTGTGTTTCTTAGCAAGGTTAAAATAAATCCTTTGCAATAATTTAACTTCTAGTTAATTATTCTGTAGCAGTCCTGGCATATTAGGGGTAGGTAACTGTGGGGCATTTACCTGATCTTTTATAAGAAAAAGTGTCAGATCAAGAGCTCTAATCCCTGGCAATATCCTTGACACAGGTGTTATAATATGGATGCATCTTTTCTTTTTTTTTTTATGGAGAGAAAAATTGAGAAACACTGATTTGTGTAGTTGCACCATCAGTCCAAGCTGGGTTCTGGTGTTCAAGAATGCCAACTACCTGCTATTTCCCCAAATCCTGCACTTTCACTGCCTCTGCAAATAAACTCCTGTGCCCTATAAAATGATGTGCATGATTAAGTTCTCCACTGAGTTGATTTGAGGACTGATGTGAGAGCAAGAAACAGAGGGAACAATAATGGAAATTTTTCAGAATCCACCCTGTTGTGCTTTAACCACTGTATATATTCATTTATGAAATAATTTGGAGTGTTCAGCTTTTTAAATCTGCATTCAGACTTTTAAAAATTATTTGTTACAGACATTCCTACAGAAACAGACAGTTTACACGTGTTTCTTTTGATATGCGGTCTTCGAAGAGTCAAAGATCCTCTGTATTTAGTAAATGTATTTTCAGGTAGGTACCTGCTATTTGAATACCCTTGTTTTGTCCCTGGATTCAGATGAATTTCTTCTAATGTTTCTAAGTTTGGCATAAGCTGATTTATTCATTGCAGAAAACTTCATAATATATTTACATTTTTGTTAAGAAATGTTCATGTAGCCATTGATCTGTTCAATGCATTATTTCTGTTCTGCATCTTTTCCAGCCTGCTGAGAATAACATAGCTTTAAAATCAAAGCAATATTTGATGATTTTACTTGCTGGAAAAACTATTTTGCTGTTACATTCAGTATTAATGGAAGGCAAAAGAAGAGCTCACCTACTTCAAAATAACTTTCTTTATCGTACTGTCTTGTGGCTATTACACCAATTTGCATGTGTGCTAATTAATATCATTGAAGTTACAAGAAAATTTTACCACCCATCGTTATGGATTAGCACTGTAAACTAGGCTGAAGTTTTCTTGTAGTCGCGTAGGTGAATGTTTTGCCAGATTCTGTGTGCGTGTCTGTAAAAGGTTCAGATATTCCAAGTTGGAAATTTAGGCTTCACTATACAGTTTGCTTTTCTAAGCCTTTACCACCTTGTGACACTTAGTAACAAATGTAGTTTATTAAAGTCATGTAACTGGTTTTGTTCTATTTGGGTATTGGAAGAGTGGCAGATTTCTCTTACGCACACAATAAGTAAGTATTAATTGTAATGGTTGTAGTTGCTCCCACACATTTCTTTACATAGCAGGAAAAATTCATTTTGTCTTAGTGGCCAGAGCCAGTGCATTCTATAGAGTATTGTTCTCCTGAGACTATTCAAAATTAATATCTGAGCTTAGTTAAATAGCCCTTGAATCATAAGAGATTGCATGAAGCAGAAATGCTAAATACTAACTTTCAGATATGCTAATCGTTTGAATTCTGAGTAATGTGAAGACTGGGTATGAAATCTGGCACACATTTAGTTTTTTTAGTAGTAATACAGTATTTGCCTAATTCTTCCTCATTTATGCAGCCCTTTATATTGATTTCAGAGAAAGAATTAAATTAAATAAAAAATTAATAGTTTTGATTAATAAAAAAAGATGTTCCTCTTCTGTTTTAGACTGGCACAGAAAGGATCCCAGTGTTCATCTGGTCATAATTGGACCTGCAGTAAGTTGTTGTTATATTTTTTATTTTATTTGTATGTTTATTCCTAAATACTTCTGTTTATTCACATCCGAGATACTGCACTAATTTATTCCAAACTGAACCTAAGTCTGAGGACTTCTAGCTATTACAGAGATAGGGTACGATCCTAGCTGTTACAAAGGCTGTTCACAACAGGTCTGAACTGTGGAGGTGGAAGCCATTCCAGTGCTCCGACTTCCAAAATTCAGGGTTCTTCTGTCAGCTGAAAGGCCTCTTCACTCAGCGTGTGCTCAGCTTTTGCATTGCAAAAGGGAAAGTAGGTAAGAGGGTTTTCCTGAGAGGAAAGTGCTCTGAGGTAGCCCGCCTCTATTCAGTTAGGTTTTTATTAATGCAAACTGTTAGCAATAGAACTAAAACTGTGTACAGCAACCAAAGATTTGTTTTACATATACCGATTATTATTTTGTTGTTGTTTAGGAGGCTTGGGCTAGTTTTATAAAGGGCATTTGCAGCTGGATTACTATAATTTTATGCTTAGCTCAAGCACATGACTTGATAATGCTTTTCATCTACTATGGTCTCTTAGAGCAAAATTTTTAGGGTTTCATTTCACTACTCATTCAACTTTTGAAGATAAAAAGTATAAACATATTTGGATTTTAAGACTGGCTTCTGGTTTTTATACCTGTGGGATAGTGCAAAATTTTTTAGAGAATCAGCAGTCACTAATGCAAATAAAATACTAGAAGTGCCTACTTCTGCATGAATAATTAGTAAATATCTTAAAAGGCAACAGTTGCAAACTAGGTGAATTTTTTTAGTAAGTATTGTTAATAAGAATTTTTAATACTGTGGAAGTGATATCAGATGCTTGTTATCCTTGTTCTTATCTTTTGTTCACGTGAAGGATTGTGTCTTTGTTCCATCTAATTTAGATTTTGATGCCATTTCTGGTAGTCTCAATTTGTGCAAAATTAACAGTTGTCAGCAAGTGCAAAATGATGTCAGGTTTCTGTCTGATACCAGACAGCAAGGACAGAGCTTGAGCTGACAAATAAATTCGGTGAAGTCTGTCACACATTTAGAGTCTGAGTGCACTAAAGCCTGGGATACAGATACCTGAGAGAGAAGGAGACTAAAATAAATAAAATCAGAAACTGATTTGTCCTTATATGTCCACATTTCAGATCAAGCTTAGAGTTGGTATCATTCCTTCCAAAACAATTATAGGTATTTTAGTAAAAGTGCTGGCCAATATTAATGAGAAATTTCATTTCCCCCCCTAAAGTCATAAAGAATCTCTTTAACAAATTTGGAAGTTACAACTTCTAATTCTCTCTCTTTACAGCAGGGTCAGTCAGTCAGATGGCAGCTCTTCTCTCATTGGTAACTATCTTTAGAGAAAACGTACAATTCGGTTGCCCTCTCAAAATGTCATGAGTTTCTCTGCAATGGTTTGCTTTTCATGAAACTCCAGCTCCTTGAAAGAGTTTAAAATCAAAGCTATCACAGTCATTATTAAGAAATAATCTTCTTCTAGTTGTGGAGAAAGGTTTGAACATGTGGGCTTATGAAGCATGAAACAAGAAAAACTATTGAACCCTCCTAACCCCACCCCATTTTTAAATCAAGTAGCATGATTTCTGAGAAAGTAACAAGACTAAACTCTGAAGAGGGAGGCATGCACCATGTTAGCCAAGTCTGAGTCTGTTCTGAATGCGTAAAAGGGAGTGAAGTGTTGCAGAGATTTTCTGCCAGTTTCTGATGGTCTCTTATTCATGTTTGAATATCTACCATTGTTTCCACTTTGAGATCTGTCTGATTTCACCTGCAGAAATGGAGGCCATTGGAAAGGATCAATCCACAAACCTATAAATGTTCTTATGATTTCTATTAAGTACAGTGCTGAAAAACTGCAAAACCACAAAATGCATGGTTAATTTCAGAACCATAAGAGAAAGATAAATATTTCCCAAATCTTGGTCTAACCAATACCCTTACCTAAATATTTGCTAGCACAATATTTCCCGTGGCCAGATCCTCAACAGTAGTGACTGCACTCTAAAATGGTGAGGGAGAGGGGAAAAGATGACTCTGAGCCACCAAAGTGTTTCTAATCCTGTACAAAATGAGGTTCATTCCCAGAGCTTCTCACAGCACTGCACAGGGACCAGGCGGAGCTGCAGGGAGACTGTCCTGCTGCTGCTGCTTCTAGTACGGTACCTTTGTCAAGGGAACATACTTCATGCTAAACTAACAAAACTAATTGCAGGTCTTTTTGAAAAGAAATCAGTTGTGCTACGTGTATATCCATAGCAGCAGAAGTCTTGAAAAGGCAGCCTGTAGCCTTAATCTAACCAGTGGAAAAGTTATGAGGAGGCAGCTGTGTCCTATGAAACAGACTCTTGCTGATGCCAAAAAGGTACTAAAAGCTTCACTGTTTCATCTGGGTAATGTGTTTGTGTGCCTCTGTTGCATCTGATTCCTCTTCACACAAGCCTGAAAACTTGCAGACAGTCTGTTTTATAAGAAAATAAATAGAATCTGAATGGGCAAATAACTATTTTTCTATTTTCTCATTCAGTTTTTTTCTTTGTAAATTTGAGGACATAGGATTTTATTTTAAAAAGCTGTTTTTACATTTCTATTTTATCTGCATTTTTTTCCACACTGATACACAAAATGATTTGAAAGTGAACTGGTGTGGAAAGCAAATCTAGAGCAGGTGTAATGAAGCTGTGCTTTAGAAGCAAAAGATGCACTTGCTGCCTCCAGTGAGGATTTTAAACATTTCAGTCGTCTTTTTAAATTTGTTTCACTTTTTCATAAGCTAACATCTTTACAGTAAGCTACCAGAAATAACCCTGTGGCAGTACATAGGCGGGATCAAGGACTGAACCTCCTTAAACCATTTAAAAACATATTTCTCCCATAGTACTAAAATACTGCTAAAGCATGAAAATAAATTTCAGCTGTATTAGTATTTAGCTGTACTCTTCTTATTCATGTTATTTCTCAAACCACAAAATCTTAAGAAAATCAGTGCCATTGTCTATGAAACAAGTCACATTTATTGTGAATATTTAAAAACCAACACAGTAGGATTATATTCATTAAGAATACAAAAAACAAAAGCCCACACACTATTTCCTGCTTTGCTTCTACAAGATTGTAACCTTTTGACTGCATTTGCTATGCATGATTATCTCAAATGCTTCAATCTAAGTAATGGGATTGTAAGGATTGGGTCCTCTTCCAGTTTTCCTTTTGTTCATTTGAAGGATTGGGTCCTCTTCCAGTTTTCCTTTTGTTCATTTTTATAATGAAATTCAAAAGAATAGCTAATTTTCAGCAGCTCTGTATTCCAAGAATAGAAGCTTATGAAACTCTAAAAAAGTTAAGGCCCCAAAACTTGTGTCCAGCTGTTGGGTAACCTCTTGAAGCCCACGTTGTGCTCTCTGCGTAATTCTTAATTGTACTTGTAGGCAGTACAGAATGTTGCTGTGTTTGTAACGATGCTGCTTTCCATTGACAGCTATTTTGTCCTCTGTCCAACCTCTGCCATGCCCATTGAGACAGCTTTGCATAATTGCCTCCACAAGATGGAGGGATCTATAGGGTCACGTAGCCCATCTCTTCATAATGGATGGCTGTTACCTACTGTATGTTTTCTGGGCTAGTTCTAAAATGAAACAGCTGTTGACACAACTAAACTAGGCAGCTACAGGAAGTCTAATAACCTGGTCCAGAATATCCTAGAGCACAATAATTAGGAAAATCAGATAGGAGACAAAGATACAATTTCAAATTCTTTAGCCTGCTGAGGAATATGAAATTCTGCCAGCTACATCCTGAATAAGTGTCCTACTCACTGACATATTTCTTGAAAGGTAAGAGCTACTGCTTCTATTAAGCTTACAATTCTTGTAATCCTTTGTTTGCTTGTTCTTCAAAAAAAAGTCCCTGAAAATGCATTCCCAGAGCTTCTCACAGCACTGCACAGGGACCAGGCGGAGCTGCAGGGAGACTGTCCTGCTGCTGCTGCTTCTAGTACGGTACCTTTGTCAAGGGAACATACTTCATGCTAAACTAACAAAACTAATTGCAGGTCTTTTTGAAAAGAAATCAGTTGTGCTACGTGTATATCCATAGCAGCAGAAGTCTTGAAAAGGCAGCCTGTAGCCTTAATCTAACCAGTGGAAAAGTTATGAGGAGGCAGCTGTGTCCTATGAAACAGACTCTTGCTGATGCCAAAAAGGTACTAAAAGCTTCACTGTTTCATCTGGGTAATGTGTTTGTGTGCCTCTGTTGCATCTGATTCCTCTTCACACAAGCCTGAAAACTTGCAGACAGTCTGTTTTATAAGAAAATAAATAGAATCTGAATGGGCAAATAACTATTTTTCTATTTTCTCATTCAGTTTTTTTCTTTGTAAATTTGAGGACATAGGATTTTATTTTAAAAAGCTGTTTTTACATTTCTATTTTATCTGCATTTTTTTCCACACTGATACACAAAATGATTTGAAAGTGAACTGGTGTGGAAAGCAAATCTAGAGCAGGTGTAATGAAGCTGTGCTTTAGAAGCAAAAGATGCACTTGCTGCCTCCAGTGAGGATTTTAAACATTTCAGTCGTCTTTTTAAATTTGTTTCACTTTTTCATAAGCTAACATCTTTACAGTAAGCTACCAGAAATAACCCTGTGGCAGTACATAGGCGGGATCAAGGACTGAACCTCCTTAAACCATTTAAAAACATATTTCTCCCATAGTACTAAAATACTGCTAAAGCATGAAAATAAATTTCAGCTGTATTAGTATTTAGCTGTACTCTTCTTATTCATGTTATTTCTCAAACCACAAAATCTTAAGAAAATCAGTGCCATTGTCTATGAAACAAGTCACATTTATTGTGAATATTTAAAAACCAACACAGTAGGATTATATTCATTAAGAATACAAAAAACAAAAGCCCACACACTATTTCCTGCTTTGCTTCTACAAGATTGTAACCTTTTGACTGCATTTGCTATGCATGATTATCTCAAATGCTTCAATCTAAGTAATGTTGAAGGATTGGGTCCTCTTCCAGTTTTCCTTTTGTTCATTTTTATAATGAAATTCAAAAGAATAGCTAATTTTCAGCAGCTCTGTATTCCAAGAATAGAAGCTTATGAAACTCTAAAAAAGTTAAGGCCCCAAAACTTGTGTCCAGCTGTTGGGTAACCTCTTGAAGCCCACGTTGTGCTCTCTGCGTAATTCTTAATTGTACTTGTAGGCAGTACAGAATGTTGCTGTGTTTGTAACGATGCTGCTTTCCATTGACAGCTATTTTGTCCTCTGTCCAACCTCTGCCATGCCCATTGAGACAGCTTTGCATAATTGCCTCCACAAGATGGAGGGATCTATAGGGTCACGTAGCCCATCTCTTCATAATGGATGGCTGTTACCTACTGTATGTTTTCTGGGCTAGTTCTAAAATGAAACAGCTGTTGACACAACTAAACTAGGCAGCTACAGGAAGTCTAATAACCTGGTCCAGAATATCCTAGAGCACAATAATTAGGAAAATCAGATAGGAGACAAAGATACAATTTCAAATTCTTTAGCCTGCTGAGGAATATGAAATTCTGCCAGCTACATCCTGAATAAGTGTCCTACTCACTGACATATTTCTTGAAAGGTAAGAGCTACTGCTTCTATTAAGCTTACAATTCTTGTAATCCTTTGTTTGCTTGTTCTTCAAAAAAAAGTCCCTGAAAATGAAACTTTTTTTTAGAAATGGTGAAATGAGCTGTTCCAAAGTGTCTTTAAAATGTTATATGTTTTTCTTTTAGACCTGAAGTTTTGTTAATTCAGATCCTAATTGCCAACTTGTTTCAGCTGAATTAAAACTGTATTTTTTATGAGTTATTATTTGTCCTAAATTGCAGCAGTAGAGCTACACGTTAAGCCAGAAGACATTGAATTTCCTTAAGCATTTACTTTATGGAAAAGATGATACAGAATGGCTAAATTTAGTCTGTTCCCAAGGATCTTATATTTTTGGTGCATTTGCTGCAGGCAGATTGTGTTGCATTGCAGACAGCAGTTGTGTTTTCAGTTGTAGGGGAAGCTTGGTCTTGCTGAGCCTATCCAACAATCGATCAGATAAAAATTGTAATGTGGGGTCACCTGCTGCTGTGAGTAAAGCTGATTCCTTTCACAGCGATGCTGTCAAAACTACACAAACCTGAGCAATTGAGAAAATTCTTCCTATCCATATTGCATGTGCTTGCAGATACAGCTTTTCACTCTTTAGTACTCAGGGTGATATTCTGACAACTTTAAATGTACAAAGACCTCTTTTTACCCACAAAGTCGAGGGCCACAGGAGTCCCAATGTTATAATGAAGATGTTTCTGGACCATTGCTTCTCTCCGAGTTAATTTTTATATGACAGCAATTTAATGTAATGTGTTTATAGAAGATTTTCTAGATTTTGGTCATGGTAGACCCTGTGTTTAACAGGCATCTTCATTTTTGTCCATCATTTGATCTGTGACTTTCTGCATTGTCAAACATGTCTCAGATGTTTCTTTGCCTGTCAGCAGAGTAGAACTTCCTTAATGGCATATCTGGTCCTGTGAGGTGTAGTTCCTTGCAATGTGGCCACTTCTCTTTCCATGTGTCATCTCATCTCATCTGTTCTGATAGAAACTGTTCATACAACGCAAGCTGCTTTCCTCTGATTTCTGCTAAATTGATGAAATTTGCAGTTTTCCAAAGGCTATTCCTCTGGATGGGTGATTTTTTAACAAAAGATTATAGGTAACTGATGATAATATTTGCCTGCTATGTTGAGAGGTAACAAAATATACTCTGAAAACAAATACTCCACCTGTAGAAGAACTCAATCATGGAGACATTTTGGGTGGAAGTAACATTCTTTTCTTTTCAGTAGCTTTTTCTGAGACTGCTAAATTCCTAGGCATCCTGCCATAGTCAGTTGGCTTTGGAAGCATTCACGTCTTTTAAGTGCATTTCCAACTTACTGAACAGCTTATGTTGTATCTAATTTCTGTTACATTGAGCCTGTGGTTAGATAACTGTGCCCCCTCAAGTTCCTAAATGTAGCTCAGGGGGATCACTTCTCTAAGTCATTGCTACACCCATCCTGAAAGTAATAATTTAACTGAATTCTCATGTTCAGTCCAGGCTTCTTGGAATATCTACCACTAGAAGAATACAGCATAAAGGATTGTTCTGTTTATGAGGCGGATGGCAATTTCTTGGCTTCCACAGATGTAGATGGGATAGAAATTAATATCTTACAAATTTTATGAGTCGTAGGCTGTAGTTTTTCTCATCCTTCTAAAGGCAGAAGAGCAAAAGACCATATCTCACTGCTCATTAAATCACTTACAAATACTCCATTGATTTTAATGGAAATGGTATAGTTCCTCATGAGAGGAACTCAGCATCAAAATAGTACTTTAGGGGAAAAGCCAAAAATATATTTATATAGAAATAGCAATTGTGAAGTTCAGTATGAAATACCCAAGGAACCTGTGACATGACATACTCATTTAGTGTATGGATATGGATCATAGTCTGTTGTCAGGATCAGGTGGTGCTTCAGGAAAGGGCACTTGTTCCTCCCCCTGCTGTTACCAAAACTACTTTCATAAGTAGTTGAGTTGAGCAAGCCATTTATTTCTCGCATTCAGTACAAATTGATCCCTTAGTGCAAGAGTGATTCGCTTGCATCTTTTAATTTATGAAACCCTGTTTTCATGAAATAATTAATCTTGTGTTCAAAGTACTCAGTCATAGTTATAAAATAAATCCTGACTTTTTTCCAAAAGAGTTTTCTAAAGTGCTTTGTGAGTGTTCTCTATCTCTTAATATGAAAAACCCCACAAAACCCAAAATATTAACATACATTAAAAAAAATAATACTAGGTTATTCCCAGTACTTAAAACTGTTGCATCCTGTGCAAGCTACCATAAATTAATCTAATACAGTCATTCAACCTTAATAAAAAAAAGTCTAGTTCTGTTCTTCATGTCTAGTTAAAGATCTCCAAGTTCTGTTTATTTCTTTTAATCATGTTAAATGAAAATAGCAGACGTAGTTAAGCTTTGTAAATAAACCTGCTGGAGTTATTTGCTGAGCTTGGACAATTTTTTAATACCTCTGGCATACCTTCATGATAGACTATATTTTAGAATTTTGTGTTCATTGGTTTTCAAACTAATGTTTCTGTCAGTACATAACCTCTCTCTGACTGTCTCAATTTACGTTGCTTCCTGTGTTAACTAAAGCCTGTGTTAACTAAACTAACTTTCCTTCCCCACACTGGTTACTCCATACACGAAGGGACAGACAATTGCTTGGCACCTCAGTGCATTGCTCCTCACTCAGACCGTAAGTTGTCAAATTGGTCATTTGAATCACGTTAGCCTTAGCAGAGTCATCTGAAAACAGTCATTCATGTTAAATCGATCCAGCTGTAATTAGAACCTGCAGCCAGAGGGATGTCAGGGAAGAAGAAATGGAACCTCCCCTTCTGACAGTAGCCCAGAGCTATGCTGCATTAGAGCAGTCACTTAAAGGTTTAGAGTGGAGTAGTCAATTCATGCTCTGCTCTGTGCTCACTCTCCAGCTGGGCATTCCAAGTGCCAATCACTCACCAGAGCCTTGGTCTGAAGGGTCAAATGTAACTACCAAGCTACAGGTCTGTGGTTTGATTTTAAGGCTCAGCACATTAACGCATGTAAATATTTTAGTAAAAAAATATGCTACAGTTTATTTTTCTTTTCTGGGTATTTCAAACATATGCCATAGTGCTGAAGTAGAGCCATATATCTGTGTTTATATTCCTTTCTAGGTTGATCCACTTTTTGCAAGTGAAATTAAAGAAAAAATTAAAAGGTAAGAAGTTAATATTAAGCCTTTTATCTGCTCCAAGTGAAAGCATTTGGCTGACCAGCTTTTAAATCATGTCTGTAAATGCTCTTTTGTATATACCAATGCACTTACATGCACAGCTCTCTCTATGACCAACAAATGTGTACTGATTATTTGGCATTCTGAGACTAGGTATTCTGCACATTTTAAATTTTAGAATAACCAGAAGATCTCTTCATGTTTTGCCGTAAATCACATCTGATTTAGTGTGATTTATATTTATTATTCTTTTGGGTCTTTTCATTCTTTCTCTCATCCTGGATTTGCATGCTTGCTGTTGGTGGTTAAATGAGTAGATGGACAAGATAACCCTGTATAGCTTTTTTCTGTCCCTAGTTTATAGCCTTCCTGATTGAAGGCTATAAATGTTAGAGAAATGAGGGGTTTTTGTGTGTCTGCAGAACTTAGAATTCTCTGCCTGGGAAAGAAAAAATGTATTATCTCTGATTGATAATATCTGATAATAGAATCTGCATAAAATATGTAGTTTGCAATTCCATTTTTTGAGCAAGAGATAATGTTTTTTGTTTTCTATCAGGGGAAACATGACTCCTGTAATCATACATTTATACTCCAGTTGATATAATTATTTATCTCTACAGAAGCTGGATGTTACTACACAATCAGAAAAGCAAATTCTAGTTGACAGGGAGCTGGTCTTGATGTCAAATGCACTTGTGTTTCCATCTGGCTTAGTAATCTCACGTTGAGGTTGAAGAGGCGGGAGCAGACTCATCAAGCGGAGTAGATGCTGGCTTTTCAAAAATGGCCACCAATCTTAAAGATCTCACTCACTTCATCTGAGACTGAACACCTAATTACCTTATTTTTCCACCCTTCACCCTGGATTTGATTGACTGTTGTTAATCTGAGGAAGAAGACGGCATGTAACTCTTCAGGAACAGAAGAGTGCTTATAATAAAAGGGGAAGCAGAAGAGATCTTTCAGAACTGCATTCCATTCCCCAAAAGCCATCACCTGAAGAGTCAGCATCTCCTGCAGTTGACCATTCTGATGATACCTCTCCACTTCCCTAAGTGTTTAAACTGTTTTTCATAAATCTCTGCATGCATCTTCCCTGTATTACACAAATTATTTAGGGCAAAATTGCACTCCTATCCACTGAACTCGGCTCCTTCATTTATGAGACTGATTGTGGTTAACAAAGCACGGTGCTTAGTGATCAACTACAAAACTTCAGAACAACAGATAATGAAGTGGCAGACAGCAATGCATACTCTATGGAGTTTATAACCACATTTATAGGTAGAAAGCTAATGAGAACATGGTGAGGTAGCTTGCCCATGGGCAAGAGATTGTTAGCATCAAAACTGTGCCTGAATTACTCTGACCACCTTCCATCATAGCCCTAAGTTTTAAGAAGAATTGTGAGAGCACATTCTTAGGAGATGCCCTATTTGTGTGCATTTTATTTCTAGGGCACCTGGAGTACATTTATTACAGGAGATACCACAAGATGATCTTCACGCTGTTATGAAAAGGTGCTTTGCTGTGGTGAATAGCTCCATTTCAGAGGGGATGTCTGCTGCAATTCTGGAGGTAATTGCATCTTAGCGGTAAGGGTTTTCAGTGAGGTTACAGTGAATCTGAAATCACCTTTTATCACTGGAAACGTGTGTCAACATTTTATGTCCATGTTTCAAAGCTGGTGGAGACAAAACTAAAATATTTCTTTTTGCAAGTGTTAGTAATTAAGGTTTCCTTCCCTTGAACTGACAGATTTTTATGCTTTGTCTATTTATTTTTTGAAGGACAGAATGTAATTTTATCAATCTTGTTAAATTAACAATACAGACCTGAGATATAAGAATCATTCTGATTTATTGGGGTTGTCACTATTCTTGATTCAACATTCACTTCCTTATAATGCTGCTAGAATAGACTTTCATTTATTTTTACATCCTTTCAAAAAGCAATCTAAGAGCTGTATTTGGATATTTAATTCTGAAATGATTAATGAATGAATGACATACTTGGTTAATTTTTTTGCCATGAGTATTGAAAATTAATAACCAGGTTTATTTCATACCTGTCAAAGTAGGACACTGCTTATATCAAATGCCTTCTAGGAAAAAAATAAATGTACTTGAAATGTAAGTTCTCTGGGCAGACACCTTTTACTATTCCATTTTATTTGGCAACTCGTGATGATCTCAGAAGATCATAGAAACTATGACATGATTTGTGTTAAAGACTCTCCTATGTCTGTTTCTAATGAGTAATCACGTTGCATTTCCAGCATGCTTTTCTTCCAAACAGCTGAAAATCCTTCAAACTAAAGAACTAAGTGAGCACTGTAAGAATTATGAAAGTTAGGTGCTGGTAAGATAGCAAGTAAGTGTTTTCTTTCTAAAATGCCAGTGCTCAGAGGTGGAACCAGATGCTGTTTCACAGCAACAATACTCTATAAACAACAATTACTACAGACTGTGACATTTCCAAAGATGTCAGTGTGGCAGGATAGACAAATTTTGTACGTTCAGTAGTTGAGATGAAATGGAGTGTACCAATGCAGCCACAATTAAGTCAGTGACACAGAGAAGTAAAAGTTAAGTAACTGTCACCTCCTCCTGACCAGTTAAACGTTCCCTTTAGGACTACTCGCATGACAGTTGACCAAAAATCAATGTGAATTATTTCCTGAGAGTGTCAGTGAGTTAGAGACGGGGAAAAAAGGCAAACCAGAAAAGACCATTAAGAGACACAGCATCTGCAACAGAAGTGCAAGTGTGCTGGGTACAAATCATTATGCAAACTCTGGAGTGATGAGAAAATTGATATAGTTTTCACCAAAATTTTCCCATCAGATTTGAGCAGTTAAAAGGTGTTTTTCTTAGCTTTTATCAGGAGAGGGAGTAATCTTTTCAGTGTCTTAACAAATATGTGGGAACTCAAAGCAGAAAGATAATGCTAGTTTACTTCAGTGGTAACATTGAATTCCTGCTTTAGGAATTATTGATTTTTTTTCTCTTCTCTTTTGACGTTACAATTTTGATAAGTTTAAATTTGATAACTATAAACTGACTCAACAAGGAAAGTTTTTTTGCAGCGTTCTTCTCTGTGTGTCTGAACTTCTCAGTTATCCTACAGGGCTATTAAATAGTCAAATACCACCTGTGGTGGAAAGCTGTCCCTTTAAGTTTCTGCTACACAGTTATGTTAAGTAATTTATTCCTAGGTCATACCCAGATCTCTCTCTCAAAAAAAAAAAAAAGAACCTCCTCCAACAATTGTTTTTCTCACTGAAAATTGCTACACGAACAGAATAGTAAAAACTTCCTGTTGTATTTCTCTTCTGTCTCTAAAAATTAGAAGACTATCCCAGCATTCTATGCAGGATGTCTTTATATACACTTGCAAAGTTAGCTTCCTCCATTTTGATGTTTTTCTTACATTAGAAAAAAGTATATATTAGGATGAATCATCAAGAAGTATTTCAATTTTTCATGCTGAATTTATTTACATATATATGTATTTTTATATATATAGTAGATTAGTTAGTATTGCTTTTTTATCTTACATGCAGCTTTGTATGTCATGTCCTAGGCTGGTCTGATTGATACATTTAATTCTACTGAAGACACTGCTAAAAACAAAGTTAATCAGCATTTAATCTACCTTTAAATCTTAATCTGTCTTAATCTGAGTTTGACAACTAAACATGCTAAAATAAACTGGCAAATGACCGTAGTGGAAAAATTAAATTCTCTCTTCTAAGTGTAAGACTTAACCTCTGGTAGGCTGTTGGCTACTTCCTTGTACATGAGAACTTTTTCATGAAAGAAAGAAGAAAAGATCTTGTTCTCCTTTCTTCTGTTATTACATTGGTGGAATAATTTTAAACCTAATGGCCAGCTTTGGTTTGTGCCCATGTATAATCATGTGTTGAAAATAAGATGTAGTCTTAAATATTCCTAAGTGGAATATTTCTTCCTGGAACCCTCACTTCCTACCTTGCTTTTCTACCAGAAGTTACAGTACAAGGGGAGAATCAGCAGATGAGAAAACACATGAGGTTTTGAGCTGTCAGACTTCACATTTTACCATTACATGTTTCATTTTATCCTGGTACACCGGGACGTGAGCAGCTACCTGAAATACCTCCCGTAGTTTCTCCGATAAGACACTTGTGCTGTGGTGCTGCCTCTTGAACTGCTCGCCCAGGGACAGTGCTGCTGTGGAGCTTTGCTCTCACAGTCCCGTTCAGTGAGAAGCACGGGGCTACTGGTGAGTGAGATGGGAGCCCGTGGCTGCTCTCCTTTTGTGTAGGTGTTACGGTGCTGCACCTACTCTATACAGTTATCTAAGAATTATTATAGAGAACTAAAAAAGCGAAATATTCCTGTTTGGAAACTATGATCTCCTGCAGAGAGATTCTCTTCACAGGGAGAAAAAATAAATCTATAACCAGATACGTAATCCATTTGTTTTCACCAGGCTCAGTCCTGCCTTGTTGTTGCATAGCGGAGGAAGGAAAGCCTCATCTCTGAACTGGTGACTCATAACCTGGAGTTTATCACAGAGGTGGTGTAACAGCGATAAAGAGAGCTGGCACACTTTCAGAAACCTGAGCATGCTAGGTCAGGTGCCTGCTGGTTACAAGCAAATGAGTTACCAATTACAGGTGCAAACAGAAATCTCGCATTATAGGAAGGAAAGACTAATAAACATGGCACAGGTGTTGTGAGACAACAGCTCCGGTCCCAGCTGAGTTAGGATTTTCTAGAAGCAGAATTAGGTGTTTAGTTATCTCTTGAGAAACTACGTGAAGCTTGCCCTTTTTACTACCTCACACCTGTTTGAATTCTTCTAAAGTTATAAGGGTTTTGGAATGTTATGTCTGTTTACTAGACAATTGTACAGTGGGATTTGATGACATGCTTATAAAATATCCTACTGAAAAATCTCTCTCAGAGGAAGTGTCAATCTAATCAAGTCCCTCCTTGAGATGGCCAGCAGTAGGAAGGGCCATCTGTTGAGATCTTGTTAAATTAATAAGGCGAAAAACTACGTATAGAAATCTTTTGGTCCTAGGCTGGAGAAAGCATCTTGCTTGATTTTGGAAATGCAACTTCCATTCTCTTGAAAGTTCAAAATTTAATAAAGTCATGAATCTGTAAACAGTATTTTAGTATGAGATAAATATATAATAGGTAAATGAGATAAATATATAATCATATCTGTTTCCACCTGCCTTAAAGTATGAAAGAACTAGAAACCATAACTAATGACCAATATCATCTAGTACTGATATCTCAGAGATTTTGCCGTATCAGATCTATTTTCTGTTTAGCATTTGAAAAAGAGAAAACAAGCATTATAACAAGCATTTTAAATATGTCTCTTCCTCAGAAAGCTCAGGAGTTCCGTATGTTCCTGGGTGTGTGATGGTGACACAGGCATTGCTACTGGAAAAATTAGTGCGTTCTCTATATAATTGGAAAGAAAAAGGTTTTGACTCCAGCACCATTCCGTCACAGTACTTTGTGCTCTCAATAGTATCCCAACTGTTGTAAAAATCATTAGATATTTTTGCTTTTACAAAGAACAAAAGCCAATTAAAAAAATTCACCATTAAAAAGGGAGATGGACAGACTCTGTTTTGCTGTATGGCAAAATCCAGTCTTAGACAACATTTGAAGTACAGGCCTAGAAAGGATGTTGTAGAGCAGTAAAATTGAAGAGGGGGCAACAAAAGATGCATAGGCTTGGAGGAAGAAAATGAGGGACAATCAGGAAGACAAAATAGTAAATAAAACCTGTATTTACTCTATAAGCCCTATACTGCTGGTTAGAAATGCTTATTGTGTAATATGCTTCCAAAGCTGAAATTTACACCCTGCATCCTTCTAAAATAGCATTAAAACACATTCACAGTCAGAATAATGTAACAAAACAGATGGCCAATGGACTAAAATGTTATTTTATGCTATTATTTGTGGAACCTAGGTCAATAATTTATACATATTTTCAACAATGCAAATGATTCTTTTTACTGCTTAAAAATAGACTAAGTATCTAAATTAAATTCTAAGCCTCTTCATGTAGTAATTATTTACAGCCAAATCCATTTGTTTAAGGCTGGCTGGTATAAAGCCAGCCCCTCATCTTATGTATTTGGCCATCTGTTCTGTCTTTCAGTAGCTATAATTCATTGGTACCTATGTGTTTTGGGACCTGAAAGTTTTCTTATGTAGCAGTTACTGCTCTCCAACTCTATGAGACAGAACAAATGTCTTTCTCTTTAGAGTTCAGAAATTACAGAAAATGAAACATAAACTTAGTGATCAACTTCAATGAGTCATCAACTATGTAGCATTCAGAAATAGAAGTGAATGAACATATCTCGTGATAATTTTTATTTTTTTTTTAAATGTGTGCTACAGTCCAATCCCAACTGCAGTACAGCAATACTCTGCCAGCCTCTGGAACCACACCGTTAGGGTCAGTCAGCACAGAACTGGCACAGGGCACTCACCCACAGATTTGACGATCACTATTGATGTGTAGTCCAGTGGCACAGTGTCCACTGCTCACTGCCTCTGCCATGCTGGTATTCAAACTCCTCTTTGTCTTCCAGCTAACTAGTTGTGGAAATAGTAGTACTTCAACTGCCAGTCCTGGGGTGGTTGTGCTGTGTTTTGTGTGTTTTCTTTTTTGATTCTTTCTTTTTTTCTTTTTTTTTTAATGGTGCTCTTTCCCTTGAATGGACAATCGCTTGTTTGGAAAGAAGCCAGACCTGAAATACTCTTACAGTTTTGGTTTTTTAAAGGAGAAATGCAAAGGGGTGAGGAGAGGGCCATAGGCAGGTGACAATGAATGCTGACACACTTCACTGCCACTATCAAGCTCTTGATTTTCAGTTCTGAAGTTCAAGTAAAATATCTTCATTCCCTGTTCACTGAACGTGTTTGAATGAGGTCAACAGCCAGCAGAGTGAACACAAGGGCATTTAAGCCTGTCAATAGGAAGGGCTGAAAAAGAGCTGAATCAGAAATTCTGTCTCTCTTTGAGATGTTGATGCTTCTGTGGGAATGCTGTTGTTAGGACAATATTTGGGTAATTAGAGCCAAAAGGAACTTCCTCCACCTGCAGACTCAAAACCAGTCAGGCAGCTTGGGGCACTGGTATCTCTCATTTCCTGGGTGAACTTTGAAGTTCTATGAACTTTGCTGTGTTGGTAAGTACATACTGTTATCATACGTTTTTGTAAACCTACCTTTGGAAAACAGATTTCTTCTTTTAACAGTGAAATCAGAGTAAATGACAAAATAATTTGTGGATGATGAAAACTGTATTTTTTTTCTCACCAAAATGACTTTTTTATTTTAGAAAAAGCTGTATCTCAACTTTGGACACTTAGAAAAATTCATTTTTATACTTCCCATTTATTTATTCTGATTTGTGTTCACTTCATTAACCTATTTGTCTGAATTGCCTCCAGCTGACCCAACAGTTTCTGATACAATGTGTAGAACAGGTTATTTCGTTAAGGGTTACTATTATTTTTAGAGCTAACTACTGCAAAGCAGATGTTTGTGCCAGAAGGTCTGTAGAATTTCTATGTCCAGTGTAAATTCATCTGCAGTGGTGATTTAAACAGGGTTTCTCTTTGACATTTTAAGCTATTAAGACACATTGCTAAATCACAGCAGTCCCTCACTGTTCGAAGCGTAATTGGTTCTGTGCATTATCAGCCAGGTATTTTTGTCTTCAGTTTTTTCCAAACTATAAAAAAGCATGGTTTTCTCCTTGGAGTTTTGTTCTCCTGCTATGTAGACTGCAGCAAAATTGCTTCCCATCCGAGAGTGTAATGACAGTAATTAAAAACGCATTCTCTCTGAAGTGACAGGGAATCACTATGAAACATAGTGATGTGAAACATGAAGATTTGGGGGAAGGAATTTCTTTCTCTTGTTTGATACTGAGATAATTGTACAATATGAGTTTTTCTGATTTTACAGTCAGTGCATCTCAAGACTTCCAAATTCATCAATAGTAATTAAATTTTCAGATCAGGATATGCATGAATGGCACATGAATTGAGTGGCCAGGGTTTGCACACTAGTTACTTCAAAATCTAAGCTGTTTTTTTAAAAGTTACCACGTGTTAGGTCTCTTGGAAATGGTTTACTAGCTTTGAATGAATCAGATGCTGTACTCTGCTCCCGATTCTGCAGGCAACCTGAAATACTACCATGTTCAGACACACTTCCTTTCCTTTTTTTATCTAATATACATACATGCACACACACATGCACATATAAATAAATGAATAAAAACATCAACCAACCAGCCAATAATTTCTGTGGAATCAAATCCTACTTCTTCAGATGTATTCCTTGGTCTCTGAGGAGTCCCGTACCAATAGCTCTGTAGATAACGTTTTGAAAGCGTAATGCATTTTGAAAGCATAACCTTTTCTCTCCCCTCCTTGGTATAGCTCAGGCAGAAGCTGCATCAGTGCATACTTCCCCCCAATCCCCAAACACTCAAAGTCCAAGACAGGCTACAGTAACAGATGCTGCCAAAAGAAAAACTCTTTCCAGAGTCCTATATGACCTATAGGAATCAGAACTAAGGAGAAAGAGCCTGGTGGTTTCACAGTCGCCTTCACCTTCATTGAGCTGCCCACGTCTCCAGTTCTGCACGTGTTGTAGAAAATCTGCAAAAAGTGCATTTTAATGGAACAAGAGAACAGATACTTTGTTGGGGAGAATTGGCTTTTTGTGCTATGAACTAATCTTCTCCTCTGTGCGCAATAACAGTAGGAGTTACAATGCCAACCTTTGATCTGAACCTTAATTTTATCCTCTTAAAGCCTGCCATAGGTCAGGAGTTTCCAATGGCAAACAAACTGCATACTTTGAGGTGGAAATATAAAGGATGAAACCAGCTATCCATTGACTTTCTGGATTGATTGCTTCTGATAGTATGTTCAAAGTTACAAGACTAAGAAAAATATAAACAAAATATTTCAGAGAAGTTCCATATGGGAGAACACTTAGTGTTTTTCAACTAAAAAATTGGAGAGATTGGAAAGAAGTTTGGTTTGTTGTTTCTGCTTCTCATTTTAAAATTGTAATCATTAACATCTCATAATCCCTTCGTCCTAATAAACTATTGTTTCCTTTGTCTATATTGCTCTAGGCAATGGATTTAGATATTCCAGTGCTGGCAAGAAACATTCCTGGAAATGCAGCAATAATAAAACATAAGGAAACAGGACTGCTATTTTCAGATCCCCAGGTAAGAAAACAACAAATTCTTAAACCTTTCCCTTCCAAAGGTTAGGTTCATTTTCCATTACATGCTTGTGTCTGTCTGGAAACTTGGCTTTTACTCTCAGCAATTTTTCTCAGATTCTTCTAAAAACCTGGGTGTTTGACTGCCTTTCTTGAAACTCTGCTGTTCTCATTCACTTTGCAGTTCGCTAAACTTTTACTAGGTGTCAGCCTTGCTGAATGTTTCTCCAGCCTGTGCTGCTTCAGAGCCTGCCATCTGAGTGGGGCTCCCTGCTCAGCGACCTGTGGCACCTCAGTTTGGAGGTTCCACAAGCAAACCCTGGAAGAGATGCTATGCACACGTCGTATTTCCTTTCAAGTACTAACTGAAATATGAACTCCTATTAGGCAAGCAGTAGCTAACTGAAAGAGAACTATGAAACTGAAGTTTTAGATAATACTTTATCTATAATTTCTAGCAGTAAGTGTTAATATAAAGCATTACTAGGTCCGAGATATTTCTCGGACAGAAAATAATTATTGAATAAAATTAATCAAAGTGTTAGAATGGAGTTTCTGTGAAGATAAGTAAGTGGGGAGAGAGGGAACGCTACCCATATTTAAATGCTGGAAATTTTAATTTCCGTTTATTTTCCTGTATTATGGCTTTGCTGTTACATAATTGTACATGTTGTGGATGACTTTCAAACACAGATCCCATAGTGGTTTTTGTCCAACTCAAGATTAAAAACCCCTTGCTAGAACAGTCCATTCGATAATTTTGTAAATTGAAAATGTATCTCATTTATTTACTTTGAGGAATGTGTGATTAATGCATCCTATTAAGCTGTGTTTCAGGAAGGTGAATTATCTGGGTTAGTTTTGGAGGCTTTTTTAATAGAAAAATTCTTGCAGCTCATGGTTTTGTTTCTTTCTTTTTTTTTTTTTTTTTCCTGGTATATTCATTGCTTCCAAAAAAAAAAAAGTTGTTAACTTCTGGAATTTATTTTGCTGTGGAAGTATTCCCTCTTACTGCAATATCCTTTGGAAATGAGGTACTTCCAGGCTAGTGGAGGCTGAGATATAAAGCTATTTATAAAATTATTTGTACATGTATTCCCTGCAAAAAGCCCATTGACTTTCATATGCTTCTTCAAAACTTCAAGGATCATGTTGAACACGCAGACTGATGGCTCTCCTGATATTAATTCTGATACATTCTGTTGTTTCCTTCAACATGCTGGTTACATTTGGCTTGGAATTCAAATACATTATTCATACCAGACCCAATTAGCTTCATCACACATCCTTGTAAGAAGTCTCTTCTGTGATCTCCAAGCATCCAACATTCCAAGTGTTCATCTGGAATCAAATAAGATCAGTTTTCTTTTCTTTTTTTTTTGAAGATGAATTAAAAATATGCTATCTATTTCCTCACTTAGAGGAAAGTGCAAATTTAAGCACAGAAGTAGTTCCCAGTATCAGTGACTCTGTACAAATGGCTGAGGACTTGGTTTTATATCAGAAATAGCATCATAGGCTGTAAATATGTCCAGAACGTTATAATCTTAGTTTATATAAACTCTTTCTTCCTGAGCTTCCTTCTCTCCAATGTGCTGTGCCAAACATCAGAAACCCCCCTATTCTGCTGCTGCTTGTTGACCCCCCTTTTTGCTGTTATTCTATCTCAGCAGTCCATAGTATTTTTTAAGTGAAGATGTTAACTTGCATTACCATATTAACTATCATGCTCCTAGGTGATATTTGTACTGGAATCACTAATGTTTGTGCAGGTACCCTATTTTAGAAAGGCAAGTAATATCCCTGCTTCCTCTGTAAAACAGCAATCGTATCTCATGTGATTGATAGAAGCCATTTTATACTGTCACTGGTGTCAAACTATCACAATTTGCAGATGGGTCAGGAAAATATTTGTTTGCAGGATAATACTCTAATCCCACTGTAGAGTTGTTGAAAAACTACTTCTTGCAGCGATGAGCTCAGAATGCCAATCATCATCACTCACGGTTTCAAAGATAACCATTTACTCTTGTTCCTTATCTCCCAAACCATATCAAATACAGTTTTTAAACCACTGTACACAGTCTATCAGAGGTTGAGACCAAAGAAATGCAATTAAGTTTGAACACATACAGTTCAAGGTATTCCTCATATTCTCATTGTTGGAGGAAGGAACAGTCTGCCCATGGCACTTTGAATACTGCCTTAGAAGATTCAATCTGACAATAGGGATGGGAAAGCATTTGTTCTGGTAAGAGGTTTTCTGGGTTTTTTGTTACTCTGAGTGCTTTCACATCTTAGATATCTGGTAAACTATTTTCTGCTGTAACCCCAGTTACATCAGGCTAGTTAGGGAAAATGCTTTTAATCATACAGGGAGATTAGTATTGTATTCAGCTGCTTGGGGAAGTTTGTCTCTGTCTTGAAGAATCTGGGCCACCAAAGATTTTTTAAGAAAATGTCAAAGAAATGTTTATTGCTAAAAGTTCAGTGGATCCTATCTGGTTGTGATAATACAGACTGTATCATAGGGCAAGAGTAGAAAGCATTGCTTATTTTCAAGTTGCTACTGATCTGGGGAGGGAAAGCTTTACAACATGTTTAGCTTAGATACGAGCAATTGCGTCTGGTCTGCAGCCTATCTTATCTTTTGAAAGCTAAATTAGAGGGATATAAATTGACCATTACACAATGAGAATAGTTTTAAATTGTGAATGCTGTTGGTTTTCTTCTTTTATTCTTGCTGAAAGTGAGCTTTTGTGGCTTACAGGAAAGTAGGAAATTTTGTGCATAATTGTAGTCATCATTAACCATTTGCACATAGGCTGAGGCTTCAGAACTGGAAGTGGAAGCCTTGCCAGTCACTGCAGACAGCACTCAGATGGAACCAGTTAATGTAAAAGTGAAAGCTAAGAAACGTTTTGTCCTTGATACTACATCATCTGTGCACATTACTTTTAAATCATGGTTTGATCCTGCCACTACTTGAATTTGCAAGTTTATGGAATATTTGACACTGAGTTAATGGGACCTGAAAGAAAAAAATGATAAGTGAGAGATAAGAATAGCCAGCAGCTATTGGGCAATAAATAACGCAAAACCGACTTAAAAAGGAAGACACAAAGAGTTATTCAGCATCCTAAGTTTCAAAATTTTGTTCAGCATCTGTAAAATCTCACAGAAGGCGCAAAAAAAAAAAAACAGAAGGAGGTGAATAAACTTCAAAGTCAGCAAAAGCGAGAGCAAGCATAAACAGAGTTTGAGGGCAAGCAGGACCTGGGAAGACTACTGGTAGCAGCCAAACTTCTGAAGTGGTAGGAGGGAAGCGCAACTCAGCTGAGAACAGGCAGCAATATGTTGATTGTACATTGGTCTGCTCTGCCAAACACAGGGCAATGCCCTTTCTAGTAGGGCTTCAAGCCAGAATATTGCTGAAGTTTTTAGACCTTTGAACCTTCACACTGGATAAACTAATTTGCAATTTTTGGCAGTGCCAGCAATGACTGTTCATAGTCCCCTAGAAATGCTGGCCCATTGCCCTGTGAAGTACACAGATGTGCCAGCTGACTTCTGAGCATTGCCTGCCACTAGGTAGATCTGTTGCAATTCTAAATATACATCTGTCATTTGCCTTCCCTGGGGTCATTCTCTGTTGTTTAAAAATCATGTACTTTTATCTGCTGAAGCTGATATGAAATGGTATAATGGCAGACTCAACTTTCGTTATATAAATAATATATTAACCATGCATCTTATTTTCATTGTGTGTGAGCTGTGACACTGGTGTAGTTCTTGTGGTGGCTGAAGGAATATTCATTCTTTTTAGTCAGTGCTCTCATTTTCTAGCTTTTTCTCCCACATACCTGTATTTCTGGTCTCTGAAAAATATTACACAGAATTTCTTTTAGGTACTATATAGGGAAGCTGACATTTACTTTAAAGATGATTGGTCAATTTACCAGGAGAAAAGTGTATGATGCTGTTGAAAAAGGCCTGTGTTTGGAGTGAAATACTACCCATAAAAAGGGCACGTGTAATATCAGTTCTGAATGCTGATTAAGATGATCTCCCCCATTTTTTCTGGGTTGTGGCTAACTACTGATGTTCAACTTTTACACTGTGTTTTTCTATCCCATGTATAGTAATTATACCCATTTCTGTATGTGAATAAAAGGCTTATTAGAAATATGGGTGTTCCTCAACTAGTAAGTTAGCACCTCCTTCATTTGGCTGCTGAAGTGCCTACCCTTATGTTTGATAATTGAATATTTGTGAATTTTGTCACTCTTTCACCAAAAGTGAAGCTTATTTCATTTCTACAACATAATGTGTGAGGGTACAAATGTGTGAGGGTACAAATACAGCATAACAGCAGTTAAACAGACATGTTAGCAACCAGAAGTAGTTTGTATATCATAGGCTTCTAGAACAGAAAAACTTAATGCTCGATTTTCTGAAAGAGCTCTGAGTTCTGAACGTCTGCATTCTGCAAGCTCTTGCTTCAGACTTACCACAAAACTGTAACTGAAATGCAAGTCAGTTGTAGTTAAGGGAGACACCTGAAAAATGAAGTTATTGCTATCTAAAGCTGAGCATCAAAAACTGAAAACAAGCTAAGCCAGCTGCTCAAAGGGTATGAGGCAAAACCCAGATAAGTCATAGCGAATCTTCCCATTGGCTTCCAGTCAGATTGCAAGTGACTTGTAGGTGGTCACATTTGATTAGTAGAAGAAGTAGGGATAAAGCTGAGAAGTCCTTATTCTCTGTCTCCTGGTATTTTTCCATTTGCTCTTTCTCCCTCCTGCAGTTTCTCAGCTTTTAAGCTTTGGACTCAGGTTGGCATTTTCCTGAAATTATCCCCAGCATTAAGTATTGTAACTGTGAATAAGGATCTAATTTCTTCTATCATTTACATGTTTCCAAGTTTTTGTCCTCTATATCCACGTTTTAAAAGAATGCTAATAGGACTACCTGTCAAGAAATGTTACATTGCTGCTTCTGTTCTTAGGTAATTTACATAAATTATTTTTAAACATTACTTTAAATAAAATCCTCCACAGGAGCATAAAATTAAAGTTGGAATGTAGTTCAGTGTGAACAGTATTTATTACTGTGATTATGCAGGCAATTGGATGAAGCCAGCATAAGTCACACAAGACTTTCCCACCTTCCCTTTTCTGTATTCTTGGCAGATATGGAGGAAGGAAAAGGCCACGTCTCTAAAGTTGGAGTCATTGGCTGTGTCTGAGTGTCTGATAGATTCAGCCTCAGGGTTCTCTCTAGCCCAGCCTCACCTGTCTTCTTTAGGGACTCTCTTCCAGGCAACCAGATAACACCTCTTCAGAGCACATGGGTCCCAAGTAAGGAACTGACTACACTAGTTACATTAGCATGTACCCGAATGCAAGGTAGTTGTGGAAGGAAAGCAGACTGGGTACAAAGCATGTGGCCCTCAAGGCTATGCCAGAGGCTGTTCTTTCAGTGCTGTGTGGACAGAGCAAAGATTACAAGCATTACTGATTTTATGTAAAATAAGAGGTTATTGTTAATATGCATGTATGAAAATCATTTTGTTCTATTACGTAGTTACAGACCTTTCCAACAAAACTGATGTGCATTTCTGACTATTTAAATTTCATGGTAGTAATGCATATATTGATAGTTTGTCTTGTCAGTGAGTGGCAAAGGAGTGATATAACATGTACAATGTGATTTCACATACCAGTGTTTCCCAGGGGTCACGTTATAATTATCTATTATGCATAGCCATCACTTGCATTACAACAGCAACATTGATTCTGTGGTAACCAAAGATTTTCTATCTGTGTATGTATTTATATACACTGCGTACTTAGGCTCTTAAGTATAGTTTGGTAGTTAACCTAGTGTTGATATGAACTCTGGTCTTATTTATGGTATTTCCTTTCCCAGCTGCCAGATTGTGTAAAAATTTATCTCCTCCTCCCATCCTTTTTGTCCCCCACGTCCCCATGCAGTGATCTTCACTACCAATTGTGTAGTAGTGCATTACCTTGGTTTTCCATTGACACAATAGCTATCTGCTTTTTTGAGCTGAACCAAGACATTATTTTGCAACGATCTGAGCACATTTGTAATCAAGCTGAAGTATTGGAAGTTGTCTCTTGATAGAAAATTAGACCAGCTGCTCAGAATAGATTAGTTCAGACATCAAATCGCCTTTCACATGTTTGAAGTTCACAATTTCTCTTCCATAGAACTAAATTAGAGTGGCAGAGGAGCAGGCAAAGGGATAGTTGTAATCTGTGAGGTCTACTATCTTACCCAGTAAATTTAAAGGAAATTAATATATGACTTTTTTTGCAGAGCTTGTTGAGCTAACACAACTGCCCAGATGCAACTACTCTGGAAGAGCTTGTTGCTGCATGCCTGCTCTTACCTTTATACTGTGACTATAGTTACATAGTGAAATTTTTAGTCTTACCATAAAATTAACTAAAGGTGTCAAAGTAGCAATGAGATATAAGTTTAGCTGAGATCAGACATCCGATGTCAGTTGTCCTCCATGCAGGAGACCAGGAGAATTATTTAATTTATAACCAGCCTGGTTTTCTAACACCTGGGTAGGCAAACACTTTCTGTGTCATTAAATTTGTTGTTCATATTTGTCTTAACACTCTTGGGATTGTCTTTGATTTTAAACTTCTTAGTTGGTGGGCTGCATAAAATAATAGATAAAATAATTATTTATTGATCATTGTTTATAAATAAACTATGGTACTCGACCTTGAAAAATTACTTTGAACAGCTTCACATATTGGCTCACAGCTGAAGTGCTTTACCAAAATCAAGATATCGGTACAAGCTATTTCAGTATCATTAGAACTTCGAGGAACTTCTAATTTATTCTTTTCTTTATCTTTTTTAGGAGTTTGTTGTGCTGTCCAAGAGTTTGATGAATGACCCCATTATGGAAAGAGAAATTGTAACAAGGGCCAAAGACTACGTGAAGAAACATCACTCATGGGAAAGTGAAAGAAAAGCCTATCAGGATCTTGTCCTAAGACTCCAGTGAAGTGCAACACTGTGGTTGATACCCAGCAGTCTGTGTAGAGCACTTTAATGATGGATATGTAATTAGATTTGTGTTTCTCTTGGTTTCTTTTTAGAAGAGATAGTAAGACATACATTATTATTCTATTCAAACATACCAACATCACAGGAGTTGCCTGCCACTTCAACCTGTCAGCTTTATCTAATTCAGCACACTGTCTCTAGTGCACCAGTTCATCTCAGACCGGTATCATTTTGTACGATCACATAAGAGAAATATACTCCTTGAGCAGACACAAAATTTTTGTTGTTGTAAGGCCTCAAAGGGAGGATGATTTCTTGTACTCAGTGGAGCACTTCACCACATAGAGCTTGCATCAAATGTTCTGATCATGTTGCATCTTAACCAAACTGCAGTAGCACTTTTCTTTCCAATTATAGCAATCTGAATGTATTCAGGTCCATGTGACATGCACATATATGTTCATAAAGCCAAGATTAGTTATGTAAACAAACAGAGTATAAAATTATTAAGATGAAAGCTTTCTTAAGAGTGAAAGATCAACATATCTGTTGACTACATAATGATAAGGGGGGGCCAAAAAAGCAAATGGAATGTTGATACTTGGGGAAGGTGTGGAGTATAGGGCATGTTTTGTATCGCCCAGGTAAGCTGATATGGCCAAACGGTTCTATCCTGCATTTTCTCTTGGGTCCTGGGACTGGAGCCAGAAGGTCAGCACAGCACCTGACGGCCGTGGCTTCAGATTCCAGGACTGCAGAGCGCTGCCCGCAGCAGCAAGACCTTCTTGCAGGCAGAGACACTTTGTTATGGAAACTACCTCTTAGTTTGCCAGTTTCTTTGGTACCTCTGTGATTTACTTATTTACTAAAAGCTGTAAAAAGGGATAAAGGGGGTGGGTGGGGAAAGGTATTTTCAATTTACCATGTATTTTGGTACTGTTCATTCTCGTTTGTGGCTTTCAGAATATATTGTAATATAGGGTAGCAGGCTATTTAAAAGTGAGACTCATCTGTGCTTGAAGTCCATACTCATAATTCCTTCCAGGTCAGTGATTATGGACATATCTTTGAATCAATAATTAGTCAAAGGACTTACATTTATAGAAAATAAAAAAGAAAAAAAAAAAAAAAAAAAAAAAAAAAGAGAGGGTCCTATTTTTAACTGCTTGTTATTAGGAAACTATGTGCTTTGTATAGACTTGATCCTGCCCCAGTGAGAACCAGTGAGATGTTTTCTATTGATTTGAATGGCCATTGTGTCAGACTTTTCTGTCATCATGAAGTTCACTGTGTGTTTTAAGCTTTCCTCTTTATTTTTGATCTTTTGCAACTGTTGGGACAGTAAACAAGAAAGTAATTTGAATGTCATATATTGACTTCTCCTAAATTTCCCCCCTTTTATTGTAACGGGCTTCTGCTCAGCATCGCCTTCCATAACACGATCCTCAAGGGCAAAACTGGCCTGATTTGAAATCCAAGAATTGCTACATTCCCTGTTGAGCACATTTTTCCTAATTATTTCTGGCATGTCCTTTGACGTGCTGGGACGTAAGTACATCTGCGCTAGTTCTAAGCATAAAAGCCACCAGCCAACATCTACCTCTGAACAGTTTCTAAAGCTGCAACGTAACCAGCCTGTTGGGTTTTCCCTGCTACCTCAGGAGGAGCCATAGTCCTTGAGCCACCTGCATTACAGTGAGAAGTGAGGCCTCTCAGGGGATTGTGGTGTCTTTTTTGGCCACAGAAAATTATATACCACAGGAAGAACCCCTACAACCTGGATTTTCAGCATGACGTATGTAGTATGGGACCTTTATAGGAAATAGGAAAAAACCCCATTTATAGCTGAGGCGACTACAGGGAGTCCTGTTCCTCTCAAAACATCTTCTCACAGCTCTCCTGTGCCAGCGTATCGCTGAGAATCTGCTGGTTTGGCTTTCATCCTTAGCCATTGCCGTACCCCCCTTCCTATACTATTGGTTGTCTTTTGAGAAATACAGATTATTAAAAACAAATAAACAAGCACATAATGTGGGATAGAAGTCTAAGCATTGAGCTAATGGTAAATGATTAGTAATAGTAACGATTAGGAAGCCTTTTCTAAAGCACGATATATTTACTACCAAGCTTCAAGCAACTAAATACATTGATCTGGAATTTGCGCTATTTCCAGCAAAACAAAACATGTTCAAGTGAGAAATTCTGCTATACCCTCAGAATGTAATTAACATACGATTTTTCAGGCTGTATTTAATCTATAAATACAAAATCTGCATCTGGGAAACAGCATGCTCATTTGCATGTGATAACAATACCAGAAGCACAAACAATCCTTCTGCAATATATGCATTAAGAAAAAAAAAATATGAAAACAACTAAAATAGTAGCGAGATCAGCCCTTGGGGCTGTTTTACAGTCATCAACTGAGGCAGCATTCATCAATCAAGGGCACTCAGCTTTGATATCATTTATCACATGGGCTTGTGTTCTGCAACATGAAGCCTGTCTATTAAGGCTGAAAGGTTGGGACAACTGCTAGGGAATTTCATCATAATAAATTGCTATTGAATTTATGTTTTAAATTTCATCCAGTCTTATGTTCCGGGCCCATAAATATTCAATGAGTCTTGTAAGTCCTTGTGAAGAAAATATGAGACCTCATGCAAGCAATTTTAGGTACAATTATCTTTCAAGCAACTTCACTCAAATGTTTTTATATTTAAGAATAAGCCTTTTGTTGTCCTGCAGCCCTAATTATAGTATTTATCTTCCCCCTTCAATGCCCCATTTCTATCCTAGCAGCTTTTTAAGCAAGGCACACCTCAATGAGATAAAGATACAGCTCGAAAAATAGCATTTGTTCTGTTTGCAGGAAAAACCTGCATTGTGCATTTACCCCGTGGCTAATTCTGTATTTCAAGACCTTGAAATGTACTGTTAATTAATCCAATTACATGCATTTTATTGTGCAATTAATTCTGCCATTGAATCCACAGGAACTGAATGAAAGCAGTGGACCTGGACAATGGGTACTACTATGCCGTTTCCTTTCTTGGCACGATTACTTCAGAAGTGGAGACAATTTGGTAGTGTGTGGCAAAACCCAGCTAGGGCCTGTGGTGTGTGCAATGAGCGCTTCCTGAATTAGGATTTCATTTTAATTAGCTCTAAAGCATACATACTCCAATTTTTAGAGCGAGTTTCTACATTCTTGTTACAGCCTTAACCAGTGTCTGCCCTAAGAACACTGATAGGGAGTTAGGTCCTCCCGTTTTTGTCTGCTCCTGGGCAAAACGTTACTGTTGGCTTAAACCAGTAAAGCTTTACCAGCTCCCACCTCTGCAGTCTTGGCTCTGGTGTTCTCCCCAGCAAGAGGAGCCAGCACCACACTCCCCTCTGCTCCTGCCCACCGGGAGAGCACTAACAGGCAGCCACTCTTACCCCTTACAAAGGGGTGCCGTAGGAAGCAAGGGGATCGTCGCTTCCGAGAGTGAACACAGAATTCAGCAGACTCTTCTCCTTTGCCAAAAGCACAATCAACAGCTGGCGCTGAACCCCAGCCTTTGGAAAACAGATCCTACTGATCGGAATTAGCTTATTTTCCCAATAACCAGCACGCCTCAGGGGTGGGCTATGCAATGTGCGTGGAGGGAAATGATGTAGACTGATAGAATTGGGGAAAGGATTTAGATATATCTATCTAAGGATTTAAAAAAACCCCAAAGTTAAACTTTTCTCTTTGGAATCATTACAGCTCATTTTAGAAATATTTAAAGTATTTCAGACTTCAGAAGTTATGAATGAAACAAAAAGCAGCGGAGGAAGGAACCAGAGTATGGCTATGGCTGTAAGGATAAACATTCTCTCAATAGTTTAGAAAAGGCTATATCTGATGAGACTTTTTTCCAAACGGGATGTTGCATTTAGAGCATTAACATTTTAAATGCAGCTTTTGCACATGGCAAAAGTCGGCTGTTATGACAGTTACCAGGGCTGCCAAGGTTTGCAGGACTCCTGCATGTTCAGCCACGATCGCTTTGGTTCCTTGGCTGAGTCACCAGCTTAACACAGAGCCCTTTGGGATGTCACTTTGGAATTCAGAGCCCTTTGGGTGCCAGTTGCAGTCTGATACTAACATTGTGATTTTAAGTTCTAACAGAGCCTCAGAGCTCCAAATAAGCAAGAGGTAGTTGCTTGGTGATCTTGGAGAAACTACCTTTGATGTTTTGCTTTTAAGTTTCTTGACAGATCAGGACTTAAAGACAACTATGAAAAGAAAATGTTAAATTATATATTGGAAGACTTAAAAGTATTTTTGGTCCTTCAGCCAATCATTTACCATCAAGTTAGCTTGAGTATTAAGCAATCCAAACATCTGAAAATGCTACCTGTATGTTTAATGAATGCACAAGTACATCAGACTTCTTTTTCAACATATTTTAATCCTGACTATTGGGCTCATAACCCATTCTGTCCCTTTCTCCCCTTAGTCTTTTTAATCTTTTGGTCAAGAACCATTCCATGTGAAAATAAAGAAACAGTTTTGTCAAAGGCTTGTCAGAGGAGATGGGTGCTTCCATGTGGAAATCAATCATTTAATGGCTCAGTGGGATCTGAGCACTTTTTTTCATTAAGTTGTCCAAAGTAATTTCATCACTTCAGAATTTATTTCTGCTTCCACCCTCCTCTGGCTGGTTAGCCAAACCCAATTGCTTTAATGTTTGAAACTTAAACCCCGTATAAGAGCAGGTCTCTACAGCCTGAGCTGCAATTCCCTCGTATATCCTCACACGCGTCCCAACGTTCCTAGATGCCATGGACCTTTAATTCTGCCTGACATAGCCAGAGGAAAGGCTTGATCTTCCAAAGTCTTAATTGCATTTAAAATTCTAGAGTAAAGGATCTACCATAAAACAAAAGATTCATGGTCACCAAGAGAAGAGCAAACTGTAAGATAAAACCGGGATTTCTAGTTTTTAAAAACAATCTACATTGTCTAGAAGGGTGGATAATTTTTATGTGCAATTTAATCCTCTTTAAATGAACCGTATTTTCATCAAGTAACTATATCATCATTCCTATGACATCTAATTTTAGGTATTAAATATTGAGGGCACTTGAAATCTCTCATCTTTCCAAAAATGTAGGCCAGCATTTGTTTTGTCCAATGCCTGAAAAATTATTCTAGAAATTCATTTCCCCTAGAGCATTACCATTAAGCTAATTTGAAACATTTGTTTAAAATTAAACAATACATTTTAATAAGAACAGCAGAGAACATCTGGTTACTGAGATATCACAGTTGTGGACACCTGACCTGGAAGAGCACGTAAGACACCCCTACAGCACCCTTTAACCCTTCCTACTCCAGAAGCAAGTCGCAGCACCTCTTTTATGGTATTTTAGTATGCTTCTTACATTGCAGCATCC